CCTCTACACCAGCAAAGAGATTGCTGAAAGGGAGATAAGGAAATTGATAGCATTTACAATAAAACCAAACCAAACTCACTGCCATCTAGTGGATTTCAACTCATAGCAATCCCTCCTTGTGTTTGACCCCTCCAGGTGGTATCACTATGGAAGTAGATTGCCCAACCTTCCTTCCAAGGAGTGTCTAGTGGGTTTGGACTGCCAGCCTTCTGGTTAGCAGTCAAATGCCTTACGTACTATGCTACCAGAGCTCCTACCAAAAAAAGGCTGGTGGGTTTGAACCGCCAGCCTTCTGGTTAGCAGTCAAGTGCCTTAGCCACTATGCTACCAGAGCTCCTATAAGATAGGTGTATAAGATAGGTGTTAAAAAATAATCTTGTTTTCCCATCTACGATCAAAAAATATTACATATAAAAGAAGAGAAAATATTAAAGAGAAGTTCCAGCTGTCACAACCAAAACCAAAAAGCACCTAGGAATGAAGACAGAAAGAACGTGTAGGACTTTTACGGAGAAAACAACTGCAGCTTGCTGATCTCAGAAAGGTCTGGACAGATCTGCAGCAGATGCCTGGATGTGGAGCTGGCCTGCGGCCGCGTCCACCGTCTCCAGAAGGGTTCACGAAGCGAGCACAACCAGTCCCTGCCCCGGGACGAGGGTCGGGACTCTGACCAAGTGTCCATCTAGAAAATCAACCCAAACGGGAGAGCATCAGAAGGAAAATCCAGGGGATGCTTGTGGTCCAAGATATGAAAACACACTGAAAATGTAAAACTACAACAAGCAGCGCAGTACGATTCGGGCAAAGTAACAGGCGGATCATGGTGCACACCCAAGTACAAGCAGTTACTGCAGAGCTTACTTTGCTAAGCAGGAAAAAGATCAATTACTTACCAAACGCAGTTAGGATCACTGGCTAAAATGAGGGGAAATTTCAATGGATTACACTCAGAAGTAAGTATATGAATAGATAAAAACTAAGTATATAAACAACTCAGACTGGGCAGTGTTTCACTCTTACACACAGGGTCATTATGAGTCGGAACTGACTTGACGGCACCTAACAACAACATAAACAACTTATGTAAATAACTATTACTTATAAAATAAAAACTAACAAACACTACGAAGGAAAACACTGATAGAACTGACTACATGGAAACCAAAACCATCTCTTGGCAAAAGTAAAAAAAAAAAAAAAAGGACAGAGTAATAACCTTAAAGTAGTCAAACTTTCAAAAAGGTGAAAAATAACTAAGAGAGAGACAGGAAGTCATGTTTCCCACGAAATACAAACGGCCCAGAAGCACATGAAGAGACGGTGCCTTCCCTCATCACAAGGGGAACGCGGAGAAGGCAACAGAGGGAGCTGGCCATCGGGGGGCCGGCGCTGCCCAGGGAGAGGCATTGGGGACCGGCGCCATCCGGGGTGAGCCCATCGGGGACCGGCGCCGCCCGGGGCGAGTGCATCAGGGACCAGCGCCGCCCAGGGCGAGTCCATCAGGGACCGGTGCCACCCGGGGCGAGTCCATCGGGGACCAGCGCTGCCTGGGGCGAGTCCATCGGGGGGGACTGGCTTCACCCGGGGTGAAGCACAGTGTCCTCGGACCCAGCAGGTGGGGCTGGGAGACCCTCGCGGAAGGTGCGTGCTGTGTTTCCCCGGCCGTGCCAACTGCAGGATTCTATCCCAGGGTACTTTTGGAAGAGGAGGCAAAGACATACACAAGGATGCTCACTATGGCACCACGTACAGAACTGTGAACTGGAGACCACCTTGGTTACGGGGACGAGGGCGCATCTCTCACGGTTTCTGTCCCTGTGACAGGATACTTCCCAGCCACTGAAAATCTCCTCACAGACCACCCTGCTGACTAAGCTTCCTGAGCACAGAAGCTGACGGAGAGCCACCAGAAGGACGTCTGTCCCACTAGAGAAGGCAGATGTCTGTTGTGTCCACTGCAGCTCTTAGAACAGGACACAGCACACAGTAGGTACCTAATAAATAGGGTTTTTTTTAAACAAATATATGCTTCTTGCAATGAGCAAGTTTGATCTTTTAAGTTAGAATTTTACCCAGTGACTTTTCTCTCAAATAGAAAGTGGTGGTGGCAGTTAGGTGCCACTGAGTGGGTTCTGACTCAGTGACCCCATGTGACAAGAGTGAAACTACTCGAAGGCATTTTCCAGGCTGTCAACTCCACAGGGGCAGACTGCCAGGTGTTTCCTCCGCGGGGCTGCTGTGTGGGTGCCAGCTCCCCACCTTTCATAACAGCCAAGCACTAGCGCATGAATCGTCAGGATAGACAGACTTACTGGACTTGACGTGCTAGGGGCTGTCTGGTTTTTTAAAAAGGTTTGAAAATACTTCAGATGACACCGCTGCTTTTACCCTGTTCTTAGCAGCTCTGTCTAGGTATAATTCACATACCATCAAATTCCCGTGTTATGAATGCGGCAACCATCACAACGTCAGAGCTTCACTCCACAAGCTCTCCCGACACCCGTGTGGGCAACCCCCACCCTCCTCTGGCCTTGAGCACCCGATGACGGTCATGCTCTCTCCCCACAGACTGGCCCCTTCTGGACACACCACGTAAACGGAGTCACAGTATTACATCTTTTGAATCGGGCTTCCTTCACTCATGATAATTACTTTGTGGTTCTCTCGTATTGTAGCATGCACCAGCACCTCCTTTTGACTGCTGAGTAGTATTCCACTGTATGGATAGGCCACATCCTGTTTATCCGGGGACCTGGGTTGTTTCCACTTTGGGGCTATCATGAACCATGCTGCTACAAACATGTGTGCCCAAGTCTTTGTGTGGACATATGTTTTCATTTCTCGTGTCCTACGGTAACCGTTTAATCAAGGAAGTGCCGTCTGTTTTAGATGATGCCATCAGCGATGTCTCTCCACGCTCTTCAGCACTCGGTAGCATCAGTTTAAACATTATTTATTTATTTACCTGCACTGGGTCATGGGTTTCGTCTCCTTTACCACATCTACGTTTTGTAGGTATTTTCTCTGAGGTGGTAACGTGTCTTCTTTGTAATACACTTCGACTTGGTGGACATGCCTCTTGGGGAACCATACACATCACTAAGCCCTTGCAAAGTCCTGGCACTCACTGCTTCCATGTGCTAACGCATCTAGTCTTCACAGCGCCCCTGTGAGGGAGGGGCTGTTTGGATCTAGCACGCAGAGAAGCAGCAGGTGACACAACCAGGAAGCGGCAGAGTGGGGGCCTTGAGTCTCATGAGTCTCACTCAAGTCTGTACTCACTCTTGTGACAGGGCACCCAGAAGCCTGGGCCAGGGCCAACAATCCCCATGAGTGTCTTCATCAGTTAGCACCACATGCCTTTGGGTACAGCACTGTGCCCAGCCTTATGATACCACAGCTTTCAGTCACAATCTGGGACCTAGGAGTACACATGGGAGGCACACACATGGAAGTTCCAGTTTTTAAAGAAAACCTACTGCCGTCAAGTCGAGTCCAACTCATAGCGCTCACAGTGGGTTTCCAAAGCTGTAAATCTTCATGGAAGTAGATCGCCTCACTGGCCTCCTGCAGAGCAGCTGGTGGGTTTGAACCGCTGACCTTCTGGTTAACAACCAAATGTCTTACCTGCTGTGCCACTGGGGTGCCTTAGGGGGTTCCCTTAGTCCTTGTAGGATTGGCACTGACATCCGGGTGGGAGTATGGTTCACAGAACCCTCCCTTTCCACAGGAGCTATCCCAGTCTTCCTCACCCCCACCTTCACTGAGCAGGGCAGCCCATGTTCTTGACACTTTTCTTAAGACTCGTCATAAGAAAAACTCTATCTGGAAAGATTCCGGGTCCTGTTGATACTACACAACTAGCTGGAGCATTAGCTTCCCAGAATGAACTATTTGAAACATTTTCCAAATTAAATATCTTTTGGCCTTAGATAAGGAGGGGCCCTGGTGGTACAGTGGTTAAAGCGCTTGGCCTGCTAACTCAAAGGTCGGCAGTTTGAACCCAGCAGCCGTGGGAGAAAAGCTCTGTCGATTTGCCCCCATAAAGGTTGGCCTAGGAACCCTCTGGGCGATTCCCGTGTCACGTGGGGTCTCTGAGTCGGCAGCAGCTGCGACAGCAGTAAGATGACAAGAGACCCCTTTCCTCCAGTCAGAGTTCCACCCACTTCTTCCTCAGTTCCCAGTTAAAATCCTCCCCCGCTCTTATAAAGGAAATATTCAAAGGTATTGTGAGCAAACACCAATAATTTTTTTGCCCAAAACACAGAAAATGTCAGTTTTCTCCGATATTAATTCAAGAAAGCCAAAACACGAACGCTATGCAGAAAGACTAGAGTTACCTACCGGAGACTCAACGGGAGACTGAGGATCACGGCTGTGTTCTCCCGAGTCCTGGCCTCGCTCCAGGCCAGTCACTGAGACCCATCACACAGTCAGTTCCGTCGTCACAACCTGGGAGGGTGGCAGCGTCCCTGCACAGAGAAGGAACTGGGGAAGGCTCAGCGCTCCGCCCACCAGGGCGGGTGGCCCGTAGAGGCAGGCTCCACGGGTGCTGCCGGATCTCACTAACGCTCATTTTAATTAAACTCTGTTCCAGAGAAATATGAAAAGCCCAAGGACGAACAGAAGGAGAAGCTAACCACGTGGGTCGGGCATCTGTACGTCTTTTTCGTGAACACGCTCTTCCAAGCGTACAAACATGAGGAGACACTAAAGGAGAAGATCAAGGAGAACAGGGTACGAAACGCCGCAATGGCTCAGCAGAAGAAGATCGAAGACGACGAACTGGAGGCCAGGTGAGCCGACAGAACCCCGCAGCGCCTCGTCCCGGAGCTCAGTTCCTTCTTTCCGGTCTCCTGCAGCTGCCCAAGGCAGCAGGAGCAAATCACTTCAAAGTCCACAACTTCCCAAGGCCTTCATGTCCTTATCCTGTACTGACAACTTGTAACATCCCTGAGGGGCCCTGGCTGCATGTCTCAGCCACTCCCTCCTGGTCGCCTAAGGTGGTGATGACACCTATGCTCCAAAGCACAGAGACGTGGCTACGAGCCTGAGCTGTGGGCCCAGGCTGCCTGGGTTCAAATCCCAGCCCTACCACTAACCCACGGGTGACCATGGCAGTTCATTCACTTTGTTTCCTTGTCTGTTGAAACAGGGCCAGGACCGCTGAGGACAGAGTGACTCAGTAAGGGGCCGTGGTGGCGCGGTGGTCGACACTCAGCTGCTAACTGAAGGGTTGGCAGTGGGAACTCACCAGCAGATCCATGAAAGATGGGAAGTTTGCTTCCACAAAGATTACAGCATAGGAAACCCCGTGGGGCAGTTCCACTAGGTGCGCTGAGAGTCAGAATCGACTCCACGGCAATGGACTAAATGGGTGGCGCAGTGGTTAAGTACTTGGCTGCTAACCAAAAGATTGGTAGTTCGAACCCACCAGCCACTCAGTGGGAGAAAGATGAAGCAGCCTGTTTCCGTAAAAGATTTATAGCTTTGGAAACCCTGTGGGGCAGTTCTACTCTGTCCTCTAGGGGCGCTGTGAGTGGGAATCGAGACAGCAGTGGAGTTACGGTGGCACAGTGGTTAAATGCTTGGCTGTTAACTGAAAGACTGGTGGTTTGAACCCATCAGCCACTGTGGGAGAAAGATGAGGCAGTCTGTTTCCGTAAAAGATTCACAGCCCTGGAAACGCTGTGGGGCAGCTCTGCTCTGTACGGCAAGCTCACTGTGAGTCCAACAGACTCCACGGCAATGGATTTGGTTCTTCTGGGTTCAGTGACCTCACATTTGTGGAGCTTCTAGAACAGCACCTGGCAGCGATAAGCATCTAGGGATGCCACAGACTCACCCCTCAGAATGAAGGTCAGGGTCAGGTCTTCACAACACACCAGTCCAGAAGGTAAACACAGGCCCTTTCACATCACCTCAAGCCTGTCGGCCTGCCGATTAAACACACTACATTTGAGAAAAAATGAAAACACGAGGACTGTCAAAAGGCCTCTTCAAAGCTGCTAAGTCCCCGACGTCAGCTGGCTACTGGTTTGGATGTAGCGTCCGTCACCTTTTGTTTCAGGCAAAGGGACGAGAGGTTTACAGTGGAAGGTGAAGTGCAGGTGTGGACCAGCTTAGTCCATGCTGTCTGAAAACAAGCTTTGAAATTTCTAAGAAAGGAAAAAAGATACCTTCTTTTGTTTGCTTTTAGGCTGAACATCTTGAGAGAAGAAGAGGCCAAGAGACAAGACTACGAGGTGGACATTACTGTAATAAAAGAGCCTGGAGATGCCCCGTCCTCAGTCTTGGCACCAAGCCCTAAAGAGGACACGGTGGCCCAGGCCAGCAAGTCCATCACAAGTAAGAAAAAGAAAAAGTAAAGGCTACGGGGTAACACACATCAGCCGCAGGAACGTGCCAACGTACGAGGAGCTTAGAGCCTACTACAAGCGTTGTAACAAATTTACTGACCAATAAAACTGTTTTACTTCTTGCTATTTCTGAAATACTGGTACCTTGGCCCACTGTGTTTCATGTTTCCTGTATGGATGAGGAGTGTTGGTGGCACGGTGGTCAAGTGCTCGGCTGCGAACCACAAGGTCGGTGGTTCGAATCCACCGAATAGCTCTGGGGGACAAAGATCTGATCTGCTTCGTAAAGATAAAAAATAAAACGTAAGATTGAAACATTAGTTGAGGATGCTACCAAAATAAATAACGTTCTAGGAAACCCTGGAGCAATTCTGCTGTGTTAGCGCGTTGCTGTGCAGAACGGACTGGACGGTGCCCAAGGCTTACGCCCGAGGCCAGATACGCTCCCACCCGCCAGTGTCCTTCCCACAACACTCTCTAGTTCTCTGCTGGGCTCCAGAATTCGTCACAGTGGCCACACACAACTCACAGACAATACTCATGATTATGGGGTTTATTAGGAAAGTAAACCAAAAAACCACTCACTGCCGTCGAGTTGAATGGACTCAGAGCGGCCCCTCCTTGGGTTTTTGAGGCGATATCTCTATGGAAATAGATAGCCCAATCTTCCTTCTGAAGAGCGGCTGGTGGGTTTGAACCACCAGCCTTCTGGTTAGCAGTCAAATGCCTTAGGCACGATGCCACCAGAGCTCCCAAAAAGGCATTTTGTTACTACTCTAGTTTCCTCTGTTACCAGAAGGGACCAGTAACAGCTACAACTCAGGTTCAGGAAGGTGTCTGGACACAATTCTTCCAGCAGGACAGTCTCCCCTCGGCTGTGCCCTCAGGCACGCCTCTCTCATCCTTGGCCTCTTGGCCTAGCCTCTGCCCTGCTGGGACAAGTGTTACAAAAACTCTTTTAGCTCTGCTGATAGGACACCTACGTGCATCACACTTCACCAGCAAGCCTCCTCCCAAAGGCACCGAGCTTTCTTGCTCCGTGGGGCGGCAAGCCCGCTACTCTGCCTCTCGGTTCCTCAGCTGGTCACCTCTGCCGTCTTTCTGCCAAGGAGGTCCGGCTCAGGGATCTCGGGTCCAGGGATGTGTGCCGCTTCACCTCTGGTTCTTTTTAAGCCTATCAGAATAGCAAAACTGACCAGTCCCCACATGAGAGTCCCATACACCTTATTATTATTTCCATGGTCCCAGCCCCGCAAGGGTGCCAGCATCTTACTTTACTTATAAGCTACCCAAGTCCCCTAGGTGGGCCACGAACATCTAATATTTGCCTAGTTCCACCCAGTCATGTGGTGGGATTCACAAAGACTGTGACTAAAGAAGCCATACCAATTAATTCACTGCCCCACACTCTCACTACTTCCCTGGCCAGGAACACAACCCGAGGCCTGCCTGTCCTTCATACGCTGACTCCTACTGGGCCTCTCCCCCATCATTTCTCACAGAATCCCACAGCACTATCCACTACATTTTAAAAAAGGCCCCTCAGGGAAAATAGAAGGGCTGTGTATGCACAGAGAACTCAGGGGGCAGGAGTGCAAGGAGGGAACGACACAGGGAAGAGGTAACTATGGGGAGGAAGTGGGAGGGGAGCTGTTGCATTGTGGGAAATTGCAGTCAATGTCATGAGACTAAGTGTATGTGAGTTGCTGTATGGAAAGGGAATTTGCTCTGTAAACTTTCACCCAAATCACAGTAATAATAATAAAAAAATGCAAGCCCCTCAGACCAGCAGCTGAGGAGCAGGCTCTGGGCAGGCAGGGAAATGGACATTTGACATCATTAAGAAGCTGTTTAGTTACTAATGTGGGTTGTAATTTAAAGGTGACCACCAACAGAGTAACAATACAATGGAGAGCTTCCAAACTAGGAGGAGCAGAGGCAATTGTCCATCCAACAAGGACCATAGCAAACAGGAAACCCAACACTGGTGTAGAGCAGAGCAAACTTACCAAAACAATCACCAACATGAACGATGACACGCCCCTCCTCCACCTCCCAAAACAAAGGTAACCTGGAGCGCATGAGACAGGACTGGAAACTCCATCTTCTTGTCACTCTTTACGTGAGAAATGTTTTCACCAAAATCCCATAGAAAAGTTGAAGAGAAAGAGGCAGAAAAAGGTGTCCCACACAGGAGGAATGGAATAGCAAGCAGTCTTAACAGCAGACAAAACAGAACTTAAAGCAAATATTTGCATCAACTCAAATAACCCACTGCCATCAAGTCACTTCCGGCTCATAGCAACCCTGCAATAGAGCTAGAAAGCAAACTAACAATCAAGGAACAAAGGTCCGAGAAGACGTGGGGTCATCTGCGTCTCCCATGGCAGCCCTGCCAAGGCTGACAAGTACAGGGCAGAAGAAAGAGATCAGGATGGGGATCCTTTAAGCAACTAAATTAACAAGTCTGAGCTAACAGCACACAGTTAGAAATCCGAATGCTACAGAGAATGAACACTGACAATAAATGTGACCCTGTTTTCAGTGGAAAAGAGTGACAGCTTCCGAGGCCCCTCACAGACCACAACCTCAGAACAGTGCAGCTCGTCAGTGAGCACCACACACGATCAGCGGCATCTGAGAGGACCGGAGAGTCAAACGCAGTCGTAAGTAACTCGGGGGTTCACAAGGAGTCCTGATGGAACTTGTGAACTACTTAAGAAGGAACGGACAATACGACAAAGCAATGAGAAGTCACGCCCTTTGACGGCTCACGCAGGTCACTGAGGAGCCACTTGTAAGGTTGGGGGCACATCTTATTTCTGGACCACTTGCAAATTGTCACCAACACTCCTGGCTACTTTTCACTCAAACCCTGGCATCCCCAGACCACCAGAAATTAGGTTAAACTGAGTAAAACTCACCGAGACTGAACATCACCTGTGAAGATGGCAGAGTTGTAGCCATGGCGAGTGGGAGCTGACCAACAAAGGACGCTTACGTTTAAACTGGAGGGGATGCTGACGTCGAGATGTTTTGTATCACGTCATCTAAAAATCAGTTTTCAGGCTAAGAGGCAAGTCCAACAATTACCTCGGGCAAGTGCCCCATTCATTGTTCCTCAATTCAAGTCCAGTGACAGGGACGGGACCCAGATGGTCAGAAGTTTCAGTGGCTACAAGAGACCTGTGTGTTAAAACCCCCAGGGCACAAACCAGAGACCACCGGCAGCACAGCCACAAATGGCAACAGGAGATGCACTAAACACAAAACCAGAATTTTAAAAACTTTAACAATTTATTAGCCTTATTTTCCAGTAAAATATTCACATCATGTCCAGAGAATGGAATGACAGAGATGGTGTGACTACTGTGAGTTGATTCCACATAAATATTTAAAATCTAGAAATCTCCGCAGTCATCGGTTTAGAGACCGAGTAGAAACCGGGTTCTTCCAAGCAAGTATTGCTTTACTATTGTCATTAATCCAGTCACCAATATGACTGATAACTTGCGACGGTGGAGAGAACGCTGGCTGAGCCGTTCAGAGAACGTGTCCAGAGAGCTGATGATCAGTCAGTCCAAGAAGAAGATGTTATTGAACTGTGTTGCACAGAGTTTCTTTACCTCTTCTGCAAAAGAAACGGAGAACAGTGAATAAGGAGTAGGGGGTCACCACTTACAAAAGCCTACGTGGTAGACGGTAGTCCCATCCATTCTCCAGGAATAAAGTGGGAGATAAAAAGCGTCTACATCATTTCTGACCTTAAATCTAACGAGCCTAGGCAAGAAATGGTACCAAAAATGAAAGGAAAACCACAACAAACGAACAAACCATGAGACTAGTCAACACACTCAGTAGCCAGAGAAAGCGCAAACCCGACATCCAAAGTGCTGAGATACCCATGGATTCAGTGAAGCGGGGACAGCATCGGAAAGGTGGGCCTTCTTGAGAAATCTGAAGCAGCAACACAAAAGCCCTGCTGGAACCCTGTGCCGGAGATCCGGCACCCCGGGCTACACGGGATCTGGGTTTTACGAAACTGTGTATGAGGCGTGCACATACATGACTACTAACACGAGGAGGACCATAGAGAGAAACACTTCCACCCTCCATCAGTTCTCCATAAAAAATGCTTTGGAAGATATAAACAGAAAATTAAAAAGTTTGCACCTAACTGTTTCCAGTCTGCTCCACGTCTACGCAAGGCAGCAGAGGAGCCCAAGGGAAGGCAAGGCCACCATTTTCTCCATGGCAACTAAACTGTCAGGGTCACAGACAGAGCAACTGTCTGGTCACACTATGTAGAGGACCTGACCAACTGCTCTGGGTGAAAGATGGAAGAAAATTCTACAGCCTCGCTCAGCAGATGCAGACGGAGCCGTTCTGAATGACAAAGGAGGCTGGCGGCTCTGTGAACAAAACAGGTTCTCTGATCCTTGAGAAGGCCACTGTCTACGTGGTATGGAAAGCTGTGGGTTTTCTTCTCTTCTTTTACACATTATAAAAAAAACAGTTTTCTTTTGCCACTGCCAAGTTTCAGATGTTCTTTCAAGGGACTCTGCTACAAAAACATGAACGGATCGAATGCTGGTGACCTTGAGCACTCAGCCATCTGCCTGAAACCTCACTGTCATCAACTGTTCTACGTACCAGGTTTCTTAGTACACGGAACAGACAGTTTTGTACAATGCCGGAAGCGTTAATGTCCGGCTTGGGAACCAAATCCTATTTACCATTTACTTCAATCAGGTTTGCATTTTTTTGATTCAAAATAACATACAGCTCCCGCTGGTCAGACTTCTTCCCAACAACCCAGTAATCACTCATTGCCTTCAGGATGATCTCCTCGTCTTCGTCCACTCTGCAAGACAGGAGCGTCAAGATGCAAGCGCTCGTTAGACGGACAGCTAGACTGTGGCAGGCAAACATTCTAGCAGAGGTGGGAACCTGCAGTCACAGCAGAGCCCGGGACAGCTGACCGTGCACGTGGGGGTGGCCAGTGCTGGTGGGCTGACTGATCCCCTGTTCCCAAGTGGCACCCGTGAAGGTGGACAAGCCAAGCACGCAAAGAGGCTGTGGGGCCCTCAGTTTTGAAAAGGACGCCGTGAACGTACCTTCTCTTACTGAATTCGAGGCACTGTCAGAATTACCTTGTGAAATCACTGTTGATATCGCCCAGAATCTTCATGAGATCCGGATGAACGGACGTAAGCGACACGCTGGGCGTTTTCCTCATATGAATGGTACTCTTCTCAGCTAAGTTCATATGGTTGAAGTAGATAAATTTGAACTGGGGCTCCTTTTCAGACCTGTGGGAAGACGTCGACACAAGGGTAAATCCTGAGACAGTCACTGTTCACGCTGCACAGGCCATGCGCTTTTATCGGCTGGGCCTTCAGATCAAGAATCTCAGTTAGTTGAAGGCATAATGACCTAGTCCTGCAGCAGCAAAAACATCCAGGCAGGGGAGGCATTCAGCAGGGGGAATTCTCCAGAACTGAGGGTGGTGGGTTGTTTTTTTTTAAACACCAAAAATATTTTAATCATCATGTGATTTTCTCAACAAGCAGTGTTTTATAAATGACAGTTTAGAAATGGTACTGAGTTATTTCACTAACTTAAAAATATATATGTATCATCAACTCAGGCCATTTACTCGCAAAGAAATGGGTCAGCAAACTATGTCTCTGTTTTTTAAATAAAGTTTTATTGGAACATGGTCATGCCTATTCACTTACGTGTCTGGTTGTCCATGGTATTGCCTACGGCTGCTTTGGCTCTAAAGTGACAGAGCAGTTATGACATATCTAGCCCACAAAGCTTCAAATCATCACCTGGCCCTTTATAGACACGGTTTGCTGACCCATTTCAGGAGAGCAACGCTCATTCATTCCGTGTTGGAGAATGAATGAGGTACTTTCACAAACAGGAGTGCCACATAACGGAAGCTCACCACTCTTCCTGATGCCTTTTAATTATCCTAAATGAAAATAATTCTAAAACATAGTCTCCTTTTCCTGCTTAAGTACAATGAACATACTCAGTAGGGAAGACCTTTTTATTTTTCAAAGTGACTCTGGGTATGGCTGACACTGCCTTCCAGGGCTGAGTCGACCATCTCCTCTGAGAGGCCACTCAGACATGGGCCTCCATGGCTCCTCCTCACCTCCCCTCTGCCTGCGCCCCTACTCGACACACTGGGATCTCAGGGAGAACCTGCGCACAGCCCCAGCCCTGCAGGCTCAGAGCCTGCTCTGCTTACTTCAGGGTTAGCCCAGCATGCTCTGGAGGCCTGAGGGTGCCGGAAAGTTCATCTCCGGATAAGTGGGTTATTACCGTAATATTTATATCTAGGCAAAGAAAGAACGTGGATGATTTAGTTTCCAGGACAATAAAATCCTCACAAAAGCAGTTTGTTTTCAGGAGGCCCTTGAAAGTTGGAAAAGCAAGCTCCTCATTTATAATCTCGTCACCTGACAGCTTGCATTCCCAACAACACTATCTGACCACTTTGTGCGTCAATGGTATACGTCTCGGTAGCACACACAGAGGTTCGAGGTGACAGTAACGCTGACTGTGACAGTCAAAAGTGAGGCGTCAACTTGACTGGGCCATGATGCTCAGCGGTGTGGCAGTTACGTGATGATGTAGGCACCTGATCTGTGATCTGGTCATCCCGTTTTCCCATTACAACCTGGGCTTTAGACCCTAGCCCTGTCAATGAATGACGGGTGGGTGCTCGGGTAAAACCGGAAAGACGGGAAACTCAAAAGCTGTTTGGGCAGAGCTGTAAACTGAGTTGTCCGGGGCCAGGTACCTGCATCAGGTTGAGGCCCTAACTCCAGAACACTCCTGTGGCTGTGCCCTGATCCTGTAACACGCGAAATTTCCTCTGAAGAAGATTTAAACTACTTCCTGTGTATCTTCAAGTGGAGACTTACACTAGAAAATGTTACTTAGGTAATTAAGATGGGCAACTGTGGACTTCATCCATCCCACCTTCCCTGAAGGGTAAAAACAGTTATTTGCAAGGTAGTGTCAATAAAAGAGAAAAAGACACACACTCACACAGGCTAATTTTCACTCTCCCACCTCATTATCAAAATGAACACAACAATGTGTTAGTTTGGAGCAGGCCCATTTATCTGTTACCTTTCCCAAAGAGCTAAAACTTAATCCTTTTAAACACCAACATGTTTTTCTCAAACACCTAATTATACAAATGTGTATGTATGTGCACTATGTTAGTGAACTCTTGTTGATGTCTTCTTAACAAAGTTTGCGACATCAAATACCAAAGCACAAGTGGCTGCAAAAAACATATGGAAGAATGGAGCCTGCCTCAAGTGGCCATGTTGCTGTCGTCGTCAGGTGCCACTGGGTCAGCTCCGACTCACAGCGGCCCCACGTACAACAGAACCAAACACTGTCTGGATCTTGTGTCAGCCTTACAAGTTACACCTGAACCCGTCGCAGCCACTCTGTCAGTCCATCTCATTGAGGGCCTTCCCCTTTCCTACTGCCCATCCACTTTACCAAGCATGCTGCCCTCCAGGGACTGGGTCCTTCTGACAAGATGACCAAAGGAGGTCAGATGAAGTCTGGCATTCTCGCTGCCCAGAAGCATTACGGCTGCACTTCCTCCAGGACAGATTTAAGTGGAGAGACTATGCTTTTCTCAATGTGTCTGCTAAGTTTTGAACAGACCATGTGCCTTCTGAATTCCCGCCATTTTTTGGTGTGATCGGCATCTCTGATCATGTCCCTTTCCCTTTTTTCTACCGCGGGCTGTCATGGGGTCCGTGCTGGTTCAGCAGTAGAGCCCTTTGCCTTTTTTCTGCCGCGGGCTGTCGTGGGGTCCCCTTCGCCTTTTTTCTACCGCGGGCTGTCATGGGGTCCGTGCTGGTTCAGCAGGAGAGCCCTTCGCCCTTTTTCTGCCGCGGGCTGTCGTGGGGTCCTCTTCGCCTTTTTTCTACCGCGGGCTGTCATGGGGTCCGTGCTGGTTCAGCAGTAGAGCCCTTCGCCTTTTTTCTGCCGCGGGCTGTCGTGGGTCCGTGCTGGCTCAGCGGTAGAGCTCGTGCCTTCCATGGAGACCTGGGTTTGATTCCCAGTCAGAGGCCTCAGTGCAGCCATCACCTATGTCATGGAGGCCTGCGTGTTGCTATGATATGAACTGGTGTCATGGAGGTTCCAGACGAAGATGAACTCGGACGAAAGGCCTGCTGAGCTGCATCCACAAACCAGTCAACAAAACCCCATGGGTTCTAAGAGCCGCTTATGCACAGGGTCCCGTGCGTCAGGGCTGACTCGGCAGCGAACAACGACCACACAGGTGGGCATCCCGAGTAGTGATGATCGGCAGGTGTCCAGAGCAGTCCCAAGGAGCCCTCCCACGAGTAAACAGCATCCGAGTAACTGAGACGCAGAGATGTGAACGTTTAAGACCAGGTATGTGGGAATGTTCTTCCTCCCACAGCACACCAGGAAAGGTTACTCTGACCCGAGCCGAGAGACGGAATCGGCACCAACCTGCTCACAGTGTCACCTGTAGCCTCCAAGGCCGTCTTGTGAGCACAGCCAGTCTCCTTGCTTTTGTTTGTTCTCCGCTGAGGCCTAGGTAGCTGCTGGTGAGAACTGTCTGATTTCTGGGTGAATATGGTTACTTCTGTTCTTCGGTTGTCAGATGAAACTAAAGGTTAAAAAATTCTGAACTGATCCATTTGGATACGGTGAAAAGGAAAACTGGCCTTAGCTGGTAAGTTACACAGTAAAGGTTTTTCCTACACGTCTCTCTAGAACGACTGGGAAGTGAGAGGGTGCTGAGAATCCTCTTAACCAGTGACTTCCTCTGACACACCTGGCCGTCACCATCACGGGAGCTGTGCTAAGGTGCCACTAGGTGCTGGCCAGTCGATTCCAACTCATGGCAACCCCAGATGACAGAGAAGAACTGCCCCAGGGGCTCCCTAGGCTGCGATCTGGATGGGAGCAGACGGCTAGTCTCTCTTCTGCAGAGCCGCTGGGTAGGCTTGAACTGGTAACCTGTTGGTTAGCAGCCAAGTGCTTAACCACTGTGCCACCACAGCTCCTTCACTGCACTGAAGGCATGGTCAATCTTCCTTCCTCACCTCTTTTCCTGATCCTCTCATTACCAACCTGGACTGTTAATGGACGAGATCGGGCGGGCAACATTAAAGGTGGTAAGGCCACAGACACCAACCCTTATTGCTAACGGCTGCTCTGTTTCACTGTGTGTATGAAGCCCAGCGGAGCCAGCTTCCCAAGCTACTGGGTCATTGTACATAAAACGGGTTGAGAGAAAGGCTGAAAGGATTGCTTCTAAGACAGAGTTCCCTTTTCTAGGGACCAGGTTTGCTGGTCTGATAGAGCCTGGTGGAACCACTGAGTCTATGGCCCCTAGCTGCCCCTTCAGGTCTGGAAGTGAACCCACTCCTGTGGCTTCCGGCCTAACAAAAGACAGGCACATGAGCTGAGCATTTATGTCAGGTAAATACACTCCTTGGAGAGAACAATCATGGGAAAATAGGAGGCTGTGTATGCACAGGGAGACAGCTCAGGGGGTAGGAGTGCATGGAGGGAAGGACACAGGGAAGAGGTAACTATGGGGAGGAAGTGGGAGAGGAGCTGTTGCATTATGGGAAATTGCAGTCAATGTCAAGAGACAAAGTATGTGAGCTGCTGTATGGAAACTGAAGTTGCTCTGTAAACTTTCACCCAAATTACAACAAAATTTAAATAAATAAATAAATAATTCCCTTTCTAAGACCTTTCTACCTCTCCCCCACTCACTTTGCATATTTAAAACTGGTTAAGAACCAGGATGTAGGACAGACACAGAAACAAGTCTCATGCTGGTACAACTATGGAATCAAGGGGAAAAAATTAAGTGAGATCCTTCCTCAAGCTCTTAAAAATTCCAGGTGAATTAAAGATTTGAACACATACACAAAAACAAAGCTGTAAGGGCAGAAATAGAAATAGGATCATTCTTTTAAAAAAATACTGGGCTGGCCAAGGGCCCCAAGTCTGACACTGAAGATGGAAACTGAAGTGATTGGTCACTGGACTACATACGTGCCCTCAACTTCTAGATTATATATAAAAACAAGAAAACCATGGTTAAAAAAACGAATCGCAAAAAATACACCCTATGACTAAAGTTTAATATTCTTAACGTAAAAGAAAGAAAGAAATGAGAAAACACCTCAAGAGAATTGGAGCTCACACGCATGGACGTCAAGTCACAGAATACAAAGGCCAGTAAACGTACACAGAGACGTCCAAACTC